TTGAGTTTTAAAGAAAGTCTTTTTAAGAAAATATTCTACAGGTTAGTAAAAAAAACCCCAACTATACTGAAGATTTACACATAAATGCATAAATTTTGAGTGGGGGTTTTGCCCCTTTTTTTTTATACTTACAAATCCCATTTCTTGCTTGGTGCCACATTGACACTTGACTGTGGAATTCCTTTAGATACACAAACTAATTTGTTGGCTTAGACTTGAAAGAAGCTGTTTTCTCTTCCTTAATTTTGAATACCAGAATCAGTAAGGCACAGATAAACCAGTTCACATGATGAAGGAGCTAAAGAAATAAAAAAGTTTTTTCATGCTCTCAAAAGCAGGAAGTCAGCTGCAAGGAACTGAATTGAGAACTATTAGAAATATGTTTAAAGTTTTACAGTCACATCCACTGCAGCTTTAGTAATAAATCTTAGGCATCCATGTAATAAAAAGTAAATGAATAGAGCTCTGTACTTACCATCGTTTTAGTCTTTCTGTCTCCACAAGTCTGCTAAAGAGTGTGTGCTGTACTACAGAGAGTCAAAAATGGTCTTTGTCCTTCACTGTACACTTCCTTTTTTGAAAGTGTATGTGGTCTATCCAGCCTTCACAGGAAAAGATATCAGCAAAATCCTTGTTTTGCGTGTTATCAGAGGCCTAACAGAATTTTTAACAGCATTTATTTGGGATACACTGCACTGCTGTGAAGGACAAATGACAGCAAATGAGCAGTCTTTCATCTATGACCTCCAAGATAATAACAAAAAACAGTTCTATACTGATGAGAAAATTATATAGTTATGTTTTCACTAATCTTTGACTGAATTCAAAGGGTAAATATATTTTGGTTTTGTCTTTCATACTCAGGGTTCCTGAATTTTTGTGTACTCAGGCTTCAGTACCAATGCCATGCATGTCTCCTTCTGGCTCAGATTTTCATGGCTGTTTAAAATCTGAAGTAATTTTCTTCCTCCTATAAGCTAAACTATATTTCTGTCAATTAACCTTTGACTATTCAGCTCTTCATAGCTGATATTATCAGAAAAATAAGGTTGTCCTGGTCTGACTGGATATTAAAATTCTGCACTGCAACAGACTTTCCATGCACAAAAATTGAAGGAAGAAAGGGCATATGGCCATAAACCTCACTGAGCTGGATCTAGCAAAAAAAAAAACAAAAAACAGAAGACTGACTGACTTAATGAAAAGAGATGAAGGAAGGAAGGAGTGAAATACATGCTAAACGCAGTGGAGGAGGTGCACTGATATATTTTGGGTGATGTCCAACTATGAAATAAAAAATAAGTTGAGTTTTCCATAAGCAAGCTTCACTGTATGAAGTAGTGGGGGGCAAATAAAAATGATAGTAAAGTAAAAGAAAATACCGTATCTGTGTCACAAACAAGATTTAAACTGCATTCTGTGAAATTAGGGTTTCACCATAACATCAGTACTAGAGCACTGACAGGATTGCTGTATCGCTCTAAGTCCCGAAACACTGGTTTTCAATTAAATTTTCAATGCAATATATCAATATTATCTATAATATAGATAATAGCGAATCTCACTGCAGATATCTGTAGTGGCAATTAGCAAACATATTACCCATTTTCTAAAAAGCAGAGAATTACTAGAGCACCTACAGGCTTATTTACTTAAGTGCATTATACAACTCTAAGAATAGATTTGAAAAAACAAATTGAAAGAGAAAATATTAGGTATGTGTAGCTACATTTAAGGTAGGTTTCATTAAAGATGGATTATGTCTGAATAACTTAATATCTGTTTTACAAAGTTTAACTGGTGTTTTAGGCAAAGGTAATACAATTAACTTGATCTATCTAGATTTTAGAGGATTTCATATAATATCTTTTGTTGAATTTTAAGTGATGAGAATTGGAAGAGGATGTGGCCTGTCAGAAAGACTGTAAGGTACATAGGGAGCTGGCTAAAGCAACATCAGTTTAGAAATGGAAAGGGAATTCCTGAGTTTAACTGGGATTACTAGCAGTGTTCTGCAGGCATATGTCATGGGACTGATCCTGCTCATTGCTTGGGTCAGGAGTCTGGTTTAATAACTGGGCCTATACCAATGTTATCTGAAGATGTAGTAAACTGAATGGTTCTGCTAATACTAGGGAGAATCAGGTCGTTACACGGGAAGAATGAGAAGACTTTGTGTACTGGAGTGCACAGTAGGCAAGTGATATTTAGAAGATGCAGGAAAAGAGTTTGTGCAGAACACTGATGAGAGCTCTTTTAGAGTATTGTGTGCAGTTCTAGTCAACTATGTTGAGTGGCATTTAAACTGACACAGGTACAGGTGTAGTCTTTAATATGAGTAGAAGGACCTCCTGGCTTCTGAAAGGACACTAAAAGAGCTTGCCTTGTCTAACTTAAGAAAGTGAAGGTGAAAGAGACTGTGATAAGGTCTGTAAGTATCAAGGAAGAATGATTATTTATACTAAAAAATAAAGGATTTAAATCAAATGGATATAAATAGCTTGTGAGTACATTTAAAGTGGGAATTAGACAAAATTTTATATTAATTTGTATTCATTCATATTCAATAATGATCTTCCAAAGAGGATAGAGGAGGAAGGAGATCAGTAAGGCTTTCATATGCTACATGAGCAATTTACGAAAGAGACTTAATGACAGGACAGGGAGGATTCTGACATTAGGAAAAAAAATCTGTTTGTCAAATGAAGAACACAAACTGTACTGGCAAGATGCTTGGTCAGTGTGTCTTGTCACACTGAATGTTACATCTCAGACTATGGTAGGG